CCAGGTCACATTGAGCTCTGCCACCCCCCAGGTCACACAGGGCTCTGCCACCCCCCAGGTCACACAGGGCTCTGCCATCCTCCCGCACTGGGTTGGTTATCACAGTGCAGGACACAGAGTCAGACCACGGCTGGGTGCCGGCTTCCAGTCACCCTGTCCAGTGGTGTCACCAACCAGGGAAGCACCCCGGAGCTGGCATCCAGGAAGCGTCCTGGGGCTCCGTCACATGGGTGTGGCTGATCGCTGGGGAGCCCCTGGAGGCCCAAGGCCTCCACCTATCATTCACATTGTCATTGGACCTCACTTCCCGGGGAGCCCTGGCTGAGTCTCTTGGACAGGCCTCCCGTCCAGAGCCTCGGCACACACATGGAAAATGCCCACAGCAAGGAAAACTGAGGGACGGTCCCCTCCTCTGTTGGGGCCAGKGTCCATCCAGCTGGCTCACCCGGGCTCAAGGGCTGCTCTGACCCTCTCACTGGGAAGGTCTCCCTTCTGTGGACACTCTCACTGTCCCCAGAAAGGTCCAGCTCTCCCCGGCCTCCTTAGCCTCCCACCAGCGGCTTGGAGAGCCGATAGCCCTGGACCCACCCACACCCCCTGGCACCCCCTGAAGCCGCCTGCCTCTCCTCGGGCAAGGCTGCCCCAGGCCTTGTCCTTCCTGAGCACCCACAGGCTCTGGGCCCACACTGCACACCACCCTCCACGCGCACGAGAACAGCGGCCACTGGAGCTGTMTCTCGCTGACCTTGCCAAGGCCCCTCTCAGGTTGTCCCCTCTGTCCCAGACAAGAACGCCCAACTCATCTGTGTGAACGAGAACGGCGGCTGTGAGCAGTACTGCAGCGACCGCGAGGGGGACAAGCGCTCCTGCCGGTGCCACGAGGGCTACGCGCTGCAACCGGACGGAGTGTCCTGCATGCCCACAGGTACCAGGCCAGGGGCTGTGGCTGCCCATTCCAGGGAGCCAGGCACCAACCCTGGCCCACCAAGAGGTGACATGGCCTGATGTACACTGGGCTCCCACTAAGGGCCCAGGCCAGAGAGGCTGCCYCACCCGAGGGCAGGCCAGTGCCATGGAGCCCAGCACAGGACCCGGGCAGCTCACCACATGGTCCTGGGCCCCTGACCGTGGCAGACAGGCCAGGGAGCCTAACAAAGCCTGGTCCCACCTCTAACACCCCCTTGTGGGGCCTCCACGGGGTTCCTGGACGSGAGTGACAGTGTCTGTACCCACTGCTGCACAATTCTGGACCACAAAACTTTCCAAAGGCATGTGCTGATAGGGAAACGGGAATTTCCTCCCAATGGAGCTCAGGCTGATGGACTGCCATGCCGAGGCTGGCAGGCCTGGACGGGGCAGGACCTTCTTATACAGGCAGAGACAGACAGGCGGGGTCCAAGGACAGAACCCCTTCACCTGGGTGAGGCTCTCCCCCTGCGAAAGGCAGACAGGACCCAGTTCCAGGAAGCAGGGCCTCTGCCTCTCCACGGCAGGCCGCTTCCACAGTCCAGCAGCAGCCCCTGGGCCTGAAGAGAGGCCCCAGCAGGAGCCTCCGTGGAGGGCTTCTGTCCCCAGGGTCCAAGTGCTCTCAGCCCTAGCCGCGAGCACCTCCGTCCCTCCTAAGCCGCCACCTCTGTGGCTTTTGTTTTATGTAGCCAAATACCCATGTGGAAAAATACCCATTTTGGAAAAAAAGAACGCCAGCAACCCCCAAGGCCGAATTGTGGGGGGCAGGGTGTGCCCCAAAGGGGAGTGTCCATGGCAGGTAAGACGTCCTAGGCCCACACAGACCCCGTCTCCAGCCCCCGCTTCCCCACCCCAGGGCACGCAGGCTCTTGGTGGGAGCTCCCTGGCCCATGACCGAAGGGGCCCAGCCAGCCGCAGGGCGGGAGGGGAGGGAGGCAGCCCTGAGGCTACTGCAGAGGACTGTGCAAGGTGCTCCCCAGCTCGGGTCACCTGTCACTGAGGTCTGCAGGTGCACAGCAGAAGCCCACCCTGATGTCCTCGGCCAGTGCCTGGGGGACTCTGTCAGAGTCAGGCCCACACCATTTTGCTGGGGAGGGATGGTGGCGGCCCCAGGTTTCAGGTGGGGGTCCACTCAGTCCAGTGCACCCTCTGGGCTCAGGGGAAGCCAGTGGACAGGGAGGCCATGGCCACCATGTGACCTCCTGCCCAGGCCGTGCTGTTGCTGAACAGGGCGCTGCTCTGTGGGGGCACCCTGCTGGACCCTAGCTGGGTGGTGTCCGCAGCCCACTGCTTTGACAAGATCCGGAGCTGGAGGAACCTGTCCGTGGTGCTGGGTGGGTACTGCCCCGCTGCGGTCCTGAGGGAACTTCTCTAATGACCCCCGCCCAGCTGTTGAGGCTGCAAGCTCCCCACTCCCCCAAACCCCAGATCAGACACCTGCGCGACGGGCAGCCCTGGCGGGACCACTTGGCCACCATGCTGTCCACGCCCTCTGCTCCCAAGTGGAACTGGGAAGACGCAGGGACCACACGAGCAGGGCCTCTGCCCGGTGAGCCTCGGCCAGGCAGGCGCAGGAGGCACTGAGGAAGGAGGCCTCGGCTCGGAGGCTCTCTGAGAAAGTGGGACCTTCTCATCCGCCCAGTTGTGGGGGGTCCCCCACTTCCTCCTTAGGTGCCCTTGACCCTAGGTTCCAGATTCACCTGTCCACACCTTTCCACACGCCGTCTCTGGGGAGGCTCTGTGGATGACCCTGAGTACCAAGCCCCCAGGCCCAGGGGAGGCTCAGGTGCCCCACCCACGGGCTCCTGACCAGAGGGTGAGGTGAGCCAGAGCTCGAGGTGTCCAGGCCTGATGTGGGAAAGCTGTGGCTTCCCACAGGCGAGCATGACCTCAGTGAGGACGACGGGGACGAGCAGGCCCGGTGGGTGGTGCARGTCATCATTCCCGACAAGTACATCGTGGGCAAGACTGACCATGACATCGCACTTATCCGCCTGCACCAGCCTGTGACCCTCACTGACCACGTGGTGCCCCTCTGTCTGCCGGAGAGGGCCTTCTCGGAGAACACGCTGGCCAGCATCCGCTTCTCGTGGGTCAGCGGCTGGGGCCAGCTGCTGGACCGTGGTGCCACGGCCCTGGAGCTCATGGCCATCGAGGTGCCCAGGCTGATGACCCAGGACTGTCTGGAGCAATCCAAGCAGAGGCCGGACTCCCCGGTGGTCACAGAGAACATGTTCTGTGCCGGCTACCTGGAYGGCAGCAAGGACGCCTGCAAGGGGGACAGCGGGGGCCCCCATGCCACACGCTACAGAGGCACGTGGTACCTGACGGGCGTGGTCAGCTGGGGAGAGGGCTGCGCTGCCACCGGCCATGTCGGGGTGTACACCCGGGTCTCCCAATACACGGAGTGGCTCAACAGGCTCATGGACTCCAAGCCCCAGCTGGGCATCCTGCGGCGAGCCCCCTTCCCCTAGCTCCCCGGGAAGCCCAGCCCTGCCCTGGGGACGCTGCTGCCACTGGCCCTGTGTGGAGCTGCCCTGCATCGAGTCCCACCCTCCTCACGCTCTTGGTGCCAGGGAGAGAAAGGAAGAAGCCCAGAGAGCGAGGGATTGTCAGGAGAGGCAGGTGGCCAGCCCAGGGTGCCGGGCAGTCCTGAAGGAGGACTGCGGAAGGCCTGGCCTCCCCGCCTGGCCCCCCCCAGCACCCCGTCTGTGCGTGCCCTGCCTCTGAGACTGCACAGCTGTGTACATGTGTGTACACACGGCGGGGGCCGCTCTGAGGGCTGTGGCTCCCTTCTGCCTTTCTGTATCGGTGTCTCACCTCCTTCCATTAAACGCGAAGCACCTCAGGCTGTGGACGGCCGGCTGAGCGTCCCTGGGCGTGTTCTAGCATAAAGTGGGCGTGTGTGCGGCACAGGTGCACCTGCTTCCTGCCCAGGGGCACACTGGCTCCACTCCTGCAGCCCGTGGCTGTCTGGGCAGGTCGCAGAGACCCTTGGTGTCCGGCGGCCTCTTCTTCCACATTTTGGCATCACAGAAAGGAGCGCTCCCCATGGAGGTGGTCGGGAAGAACGGGAGCTCTGACGTGAGGCTGCCGCCCCGCACACCGGTGCCCGGCCCTGCCAGCCTGTGTTCTCAGAGGCCAGGGAGCGCCGGCCCACAAAGCACCAGAGAGTTGACAGATGCAGGTTCTCAGGTCCTGCCCTGACCACCTGGATCAGGGGGATGGAGCCAGCAAGTTCCACTCCGGCTACCCCAGGGCCAGTGAGCCTCAGGCCACGGGGGGCCTTGACAAGGAGAATAGGAACCAACCAACAGGGAGACAGGGGGCTGGAGAGCTGGCCCCCTTGAGCCCAGGTGAGGGTGGCTGACCCCAGACATGACCGGCACCCTCCTGCRTGGGGTTACCTCTCCGCCTCCCGTAGAGCACAGCGCCAGTAATGGTAGGGTCTTGTGGCATGGGTTCAGAGTGGGCGGGGGTGCCCAGTCCGCCGTGGCCTGGGCTACCCCTGCCAGCTGGGTTTCTGAACAGCTGTATTCAAATGCACATCATTGATGGTCCATGGAGAGGCTAGGACAAAGGCCATCCAGCCAAAGGGGACCTGACCCACCAAGCCAGATGTATTTGGTGTCAGGACCTCTGCAGGAAAGATCTGCTGGCCCAGGCCAGGTAACTCCTGACCATCCCCCAAGCCATGAGCCGACCTTGGGAGCAGCATCCAGCCAGAGCTCCTGGATCCGAGGTCCACTGAGCCTCTGCTCTCGGCATGGTCACTGTCTTCTGTGAACCAGGAGCCCACCTGCATGCCTGTCCCGAGGACAGAATCAGTCCAGGAAGAACAGGCACTGAAGGCACACTGCCGGACATCTCCTGTGTCTTCCAGGCTCAGCCCTTCTGCCACCAAATGGTCAGGGTCTCAGCCTGGTGCGGCCCCAGAAACTGCTGTGGTCCCTCCAAAGTGAACACTGGCAGGACCCCTCCTCCTAGGAAGAAGGGGACCCTAGGCCAGGACCCTGGCCAGGAGCCCACCCAAACCTGTGCAAGGGAGAGACAGGGAGGTCACTGGATGCTGAGTGGAGCCCTGGCCCATCCTCAGTTTCCCAACCTCACAGGCTGCCATGCACGGGCACTGCGGGCCCTGGAGGCCTGATGGAGGCTCTGGCTGAGCCCGAAGACCAGACGCCCAGTGGGCCCTGCTCGCTGGTACCCTGGTTTCTGAGGGTGGGCCTGGGAGAGGGGGGACAGAAGGGGAGCTCCAGAGCCAGTGTCACTGCTCGGTCTCACTCCCAGAGTACGGGTCAGCCCCGAGCGTCCCACCGCCCGCTCACAGAACCGGGTCTCCACACTCTTGCGAAGCCGAGTAAGCACCCAGAGCGGCAGCAGCCAGGCACTGCTGCTGCCAGCTCCACTGTCCCCCAGGGCCAGGTGCTGGTGCAGCCCGGTGTGTGGCAGTGACCACTCAGCCAGACTCCGGCTCCCAGCCTCGGCACCAGCGTTGTCTGTCCATCCCACGAGGTGGTGTTCACAGGACCTGGAGGCAGAGTGAGGAGCCAGAMAGAACCCCCTTGCCTGCAGGGCTATGTGCGTCCGGCCCAGCACAGGAGCGACCGCTGACCAGGCACGAGTGCTGCAGCAGTTAGGAGCCTCACTCCTGCCCATSCTCTGCGATCACAGAGCACCCGCGGGGGCAGACTCTGAGGAGGATGAGGTCATCTCTGGCCCCCCCAGCAGCTGGCTCTGCCTCTGGCAGGGGGCGACGGGGGACCACGGTCTGCACAAGCCCAGTGTTGCTCTTTCTTCCAGAGGCTGGAGAGCAGAATCTCAGCTGTGCCTCTGGCTCCTCATCTGGCCATTGAGTACAGAAGCACGAGGGCCTGATGCTAGGAGGTCCCTGGGATCAGGAGCAGCGCTGCCCTGGCCTGGGCCCCACTCCACGCACACACTCCCAGCAGCTCCCAGGGACCGGCCAGGGAGCTGAGCTGCTTCCTCTGTCACAGACCCAAACACCCTTGCCTTCCCCACCCCAATCCCAGGGTCACTCTGTGCAGATGCTACTTCTAGGACCTAAATGGGTAAGAATGTAACCAAGACGAGGTCATGATTATTCTCCAGAGGTGACCAGTACCAAACAAGTGTGCAGGGCCCTCGACCTCCACCCTGGACCTGCTGTGAAGTCAGCAAGGCCAGCAGGGCAGCCGGCTTCTCTTCCCATTGGCCCTCTGAGACACCATGTGAGTGAGGAACAAACTGTGTCAACCCAATGCCATTTCAGGGTCACTTGTCCTCTGAGAGCCACATGGTGACCACGTGCAGTCTTGTCCAGGGAACACTGGTCCCCCAAACCTGACCCACACTGAGGGCCTGCCTGGGCCAGCCAGGGGCCCCTAGAGCCTGGGGGAAAATCCCACTCCACCCGAGGGCCATGAGAGGCCTGTCCTCTATCTCCACCTGGGTTTCTGTTCTGGAAAACGATCAGAAAACGATCCTGTTGCCAAGGGGGTGAAGAGTAAGTAAGAGACGTGCGCATCGGATCCACACAAGGGACACAAACGGGGTCCTCTCCTCTCCTGAACCAGGAATGGATGCAGCCAGCCCTGCTGGGCCCTGTTTCCAACGATGACAAGGTTGGCCGTGGCCTCTGCAGCCACCCACTCTGCCTGGGGAAGGCAGGGGCCAGTGACCACAGGCCCAGTCCCCTGCCCTGCCCTCACCACAGCCGGAGCTCCAATCAGGAGGCCAAGATAAGCAGAAGGACAATAGCCACCCGGGGCCAGGCTGAATGAACCTTGACCCGGCACCCATCACAGCAGGGAGGAAGCCACTGTCTTTGGCCACACCATGGGGAGCCTGCTGCACCTGGGCCTGCTCAGCGCCATCCTGGCCAGCCTCCTGGTGCCTGGGAGAAGCGGTGAGTGCCCTGCCCTTTGCGCTGCAGGATGGCCCCTGGAGGAGGGGAGGGCCGAGGGTGGGCAGTGGGGGAATGTGCACAGGGGTGCTCTGGCCCGGCACAGGCTGGCTGACCTTCCCAGCCAAGGGCACAGTTAGGGCCACTGCGGCTCCTGCCAGAGAGTCAGATGGGCAGATGGGGGTCACAGGGGATAAAAACACAAGAGGAGACACAGAGAGAAGGGAGGGAGGTGGAACAGCAGGACGAAGTGGAGGTGAGCAGAGACGGGCAGAGATGAGGACAGCAGGGCAGAGGTGCTGCGGGGAGGAGGCCAAGACAGTCCAGCGCCACTCATGACTCCCACTGGGAGGGGGCGCCCAGGCCCCAGGCCCCAGAGGGGGCCTGAATGTAAAATGGAACAGGTCCAGCCCACAGGGTGCCAGCTGCGTCCAGCGCAGCCACTAGGCTGAGCCACCTGCGTTTCCATGTCCACACTCGCAACAGTGGTCTGGTCCAGCTTTGGCCTGACTCAGAATGTGGCAGTAAGCCCTCCTAGAACTCAGCATCCGCCTGGGCGACCACGGGGTACACCAAAACCAAGAGTCAGGCCCGTCCCAGGACTGCGCCAGGCAGCTGGGAAAGCAAACCGCACAGTGGACCAGGCCGAGAGCGGCCCCGTCTGGGCCTTTCAAAGCACCAGCCTAGTTTCCCTCCATTCAGAAAGCGAGACCACTGGCCGGCGGCACCAGGTCTGACCAAGGAAGAGTCAGAGTCCTCAGAGGGCCTAACTGCGTCAAGAGRGCTGGGCCAGAGGCTGGCTGTGCACTCCCGTACTCCCTACGCATCTCCTCAGGCCGGGCGGTGGAGGCACAGCTGCCACCAGGAAGACTGTCTTTTTGCACAAGGATGCATTCCAGTTAGAGGGCAACAAACCTGCAGGCGTGCAGAATCAGACAGTGGTGCTGTTCAAAAAACAGCAGGGAAAGGGGTCAAAAGATGTGGGTGGGGATAACTTTAGAGCCAGTGGTGAGGGATGGAGTGAGCCACATGGTATTCAGGGAAAGAATGCTCTACAGGGAAGGTGGCCAGTGCAAAGGCCCTGGGGCATGAGAGTGGTGGGCACAGTCTAAACAGGAAATGGGCTAGCATGGTGGGAGAGATGGGTGCAAGGGAGCCTTGAAGGGAGGAAATCCAAGAGGCCCAGCCATGGGATCAAAGACCTCTGGTTCTAGCTTGAGGCCACCAGGCAGCTGTGGCTCCTTCTTGGCTTCCTCAGGCATCATGCCCTCGCCCTGTGCCTTACACTTCCTCCTCCCAGTTCAAGCTCCCAGGTACTGCTGCACCTTCACCAAAAGGGAAGAGGCAGGAAGAGGTGTGGATCGGGTGGGGCCTGGTGGAACAGCCTGGGAAACTCAGGGAGGGTGCCAAGAAGGGCGTGGCTCCTGCAGGATGGTGAGCTGCTCCGAGGACCACGGAGACTGTTTCTTGAGCAGGCCTCTGAGCTATGGCTACAGCTCTGGCCATGCAGAGGGAAAACCAGCATGTGTCAACTTGGCTTCAAGGAAGCAGGCTGCACAGAGAGGAGGAGGGACCCCAGATCAGTGTGCCAATGTGTGTGCATTAGAAGGTCAGGGCACGGGTTAGGACGTGGGTCTTCCACCCACAGCAGGTCCACAGGTTGCAGTTTGGGGAATGCTGGTCGGGGCTAGGATATTCCTGGTGCCTCGAGGACAGGCACTGCACTCTCACACCTCCCTCAGTGGCTAAGGATAGTACTGAGCCCTGTGTGGTGTGCAGGTGGCAGGATACTGCTCCTGGAGACAGCAGTGTGTACAGATTGGAGCACCCACATTTGGGCTCTGCTTCAAAGCAAGCACTTGATGGTGGGAGAAACAAGTCTGAAC